CCAGGGGGGAGGGGGCAAGGTAGGCATCTGCCTCCCCCTGGATCTTTGAAGAAACTAAAAGAAGGGAATATGCAAAATATTAATACCAATGTAGAGATGTACAGTTCTTGGGTGATCTGTAAACATATTTGTAATTGGCTCTGCCCCAGATTGCATCTTGGTGGTTGGTTGTCTGTCTGTCTACACTAATGAGCTAAAATTTTGTTAAATTAACAATATCTATGAATATTTTATTAACAGCACAAGATTTGTAGGACTGGAAGTGTGTGCAATAGGAACACAGGCTTCATGAGTTCTGCTCAGAACGCATTTGTTTTGTGGTTTCATTCATGGTGAGATGACGTCTAGAAATTTATGCTGCTTATTGACGCTTTGGGATCAGGTCTCCTTAAAGTCTTCCTCCAGCTTATTTTTGAGACAGTGTTCTGATCATCACCCTGATGATGGAGACAGTGACTGCCTCTGAAACACCAGTCAGCTCCTACTAGACTGCATGGTGCAGTGTCCTAGAAGGCCGTGGCATAGACGTGCAAGATGTTGAATTCTGAAAATATATAGCAATTCATTTTAAGATTCTGGATTCGGCTGTGTCTCTCCGTCTGCGTCTTCCGGAGTCTAGTCATGTGAAGGTATGAGTCGGTGTTTGACGCTTCGTCTTCATTCTGCTTGAAGTGCCTGGGGTACGTGTTAAATGCATTTGTGTATTCTTATGATGTGGATTTCATCATTTTTTCTTCTCTGAAGATCAACAAAGTGGCAAGTTAGAAATGTAGGAACATACGAGTCCATATTTGTCCCTTGTAACTAACACGAAGCATCAGTCAGATTAATTCTTTCAGAGAAGCCACAAGTCACAGACATCTGTGAGCAATTATTCGCGTACGACGTTGGCTTTCAGGGATGGGTTTTCCAACATTTTGGCTAACATTGCAGTGGCCATTTTCTGGTGAGTCTGTATTGAGGATTTTAGGAAGCCTTGCGTAGAGCAGCAGTAGGAGGTGAGTGGGATGTGAAGGAGGAGCGGGGCGCTGGTAAGAAGAAGAGCTTTTTGTTTTTAATGAGAGAGTGATTGGGTGAACGGCTTGGCGTCACCTGTTTCTCCCAAGCCATCCACGGTGACGGCGAGGTGTCACGACATTCATATTGCCCTAGTGGTGACGAAGGCGGTAACGACATTTAGCACTCACTG